ACACACACACACACACACACACACACACACACACACACACACGCACACAAATCTGAATACAAAAACAAGACAAACTCAAATCCTTTAGAGATTTTGATATTTTTTGTCAGTTTATTTTATCACTATATCATTATTACTGACATCTGAATTGCATATAATACACATTCCTGTTTTAAAAAAATAAACAAAAAAGCAGAAGAAATTCACAATGATAGCATTCATGAACAGAAAACATAAGGAAATTACAGACACAACAATTGTATTGCAGCATATTTATATATACATACATATATATTTTTTAATCACAGCAGGGCAGTGATCAAAGCAAGAAGGTTTCAGGATCACCTTCCAGCCTTTCTGGATGGAGTGCACATGTGGGCTTTTCCCATACTTCAGTTTTCTCCCACGAATCAAAAACATGCATGTCAGATTAACTGGTAWCTGTAATCTATAGGTGTGAGTGAGAGTGTAAATGTTTGTCTCTACATGGGCCTGTGATGAACTCGTGAACTGTACAGGGTGTACACCATCTTTTTGATTTCTGTCTTAGTAGAAGCTGACTAAAATAAATCMCTAAGTTGTTGACGATGAAACAAAGTGTTTTTGATATCACAGGTTCACACAGGATTGGACATGTTTTCAAGATGGCACATGGTCTCACAGAGTATTGTACTCGCAACATTTAAATCCTTCATCTTCTGATTTGGGAGGGTAATGGATAATAGAACCGATGACACCTGCAAAGAAATAAAAGAGCACATCACTCAAGGTGGTCGCATAAATATCAATCAGTTCCAAAAGWTTTCACCGTCAAGATTTTTACTTTTATAACTGATGTAATATGTACAAAAAAAGAATGAGGTCACATTGTACAGTCAAATGCCCTAAAACCCACATGACTGGCCCACAAAACAGTAAGTAAAACATGCTTGTCCCAAGGCTACGTGATTCTGAGTGCATTTAATATTTAACTTTTCTTTTAATCGATAATCTGAGAACGTCAGCTGAGAAGTGTCCRAAGACGAGAGCAGAAAACAGAAGGGTTATTGTGATTCTTACCTCCAGGGTGCCTCGAACCTAAACACATTGCAAAAAAAAAAAGAGAGAGAGAGAGAGAAACCCCATGACCTTAATTTACATTAGAACATCACAATGACAGGATGGAGAATGTGTCTGAAAATAGGTTATAATGTATTATGTAAGGAAAACAATCAAGAAAACCAAAGTTCAACTAACTAAATCCATTAGTTTCATGTTAAAGATATTAAAATGGCAATCTTTCTGCTGTGATAAAACATTACATAACTTTTTGATCAAAACTGAAACAAAATTTTAAAAAACTTGTTTACTCACCTAGATTTTTAGAGATACAAAAGGTTAAAAGGATTAGTCCCAGAAAAGCCAAAACAATGATTAAGATCAAAATCGGATCCAAACCAGATGATGAAGCTATGAGAGAGAGGGAGAAATAACAACATATGAGAATCTGACAGTRGACGAAAACAAATTTGTTTAAACAAAAGTAGACACCTGGCAGTTCCTGTGAAAGACTCAGTTTTTTCATCAGCTGGATGCAGCCCTCCTGCAGGCGGACCCTCTCGGCCCTGGTGCGCTCCACTTGCTCGTCCAAAAGCACTTTAAGGGCCATCGCCTGTGGAACGTGGGCAGTCCAGGTGTCGTTGTGCTCCAGACTCAGATAGACCTTCCCATCATAAAACATGCGGTCGGTCCAGTGGGGCCGAGGACCCTCCTGTATGCAGTCTCGAGAGCGAAGGATGGCACGGTGCTCCACTGGAGGCAGAAAACATGCAAATCATTTAACCTCAAGCTGAGTCGGCATGTTCACTGCAAAACATGACATCTTACTTTGAGGCGAAGTTTTGTTTATGTTGACAGCTGTCAGGAGAGCACCGGCTGACATGCTCTGAACTATGCTTTTCACCTCCTCGCTTGGATTTACAAGAGAAACGCCGTTTACAAGAACTTGTTCAGTGACTTGCTGAGCTCCAACCACTCCCCGCTGCTGGATCTGAACAATGGTGGCTTCTGGAATCAAACAGAAAGTAGAGATCTGATGAAGCAGTTGATGCAATTCATACTACAGATGCCTTCCTTTAAAAATGTATAGATGGATGAAACAAAACTAAAACCAAAAGTAAAATCTTGGGGACATGTAACTGTGAGGTGAAAAACGCAGCATCTCAGCATGTCAATACTGCGACGGAGTATTATGGCCACACAACAAGATTTTTTTTATTATTTTTAAGAGTTTAAAGCCGTAATTATATGAGAATAAAGTCATAATATTACTAGATCAAAGTCATAATATTACGAGAAAAAAAGTCATAATCATGACGCGTCTACTTCCCGCTCCTCATTTCCTCCTCATTATGACCCCCACACGTGAAGCGTAAGCGGGAGTCATATTGTTTTCGTAGTTTGTTGTTGTTGTTKTKTTKTTKTTTTTTTTGTGATTTTTGGACAGCCATAGCACAAAAATGGCTGCACCAATCAACATGAAATTTGGCAGGACTGTATATGAGCTGGACCTACACTGCACCAGCCAACGGTTTTACGATAGACCCCATATTTGAGGAGGGGGCTCCTTTCAAAGAGTGGGTGTCTGGACATGAAAAATCGCTTATAACTCAGAAACTGTTCAACATAGAAGCTTCAGATTTGTTTTGTTGTTTAGCTCTGATGAAGCTCTATCCATCAGGCCCACCAATCAGTGCCCCCCACCCCAAATAAAAGGACCCCCCACCCAAAACCACTACAATTTTATGATGCACCTAGTAGCATGACACTTATTAGGAATAAAGAGTTCTGAGTTGTGGTGCATTTGTGCGTGTGGGGGTCATTATGTTACCGCTATGCAGTATCTAGTTTCCCACACACCTGCTGTGTACAGCCATCTCTCTGTGTTTATAAAGTAGTCCATGATGACCTGGGTCACTGTTGAATTAATAAGCTTTCATCCAAATTAACTATGTGAAAACTAAATCTGTCAGGGCAACCATTAATTACAACACAGCTTCAGTTTATAGTCGTTTACACAATTTCACAAAGTCCTGCTACTGACAATTTGATGCTAATGTGATAAAAGATTAATTTTTTTTATCAATACTAAAGAACAACTTGACAAGTTGCTCAACATTCCTCATTTTAATGCAGTCACTGCATGCTTTTTCATATAAAGGCTACAATATTATGACTTTTTTCTCGTAATTATGACTTTAATCTCGTAATATTATGACTTACCTCATAATATTATGACTTTAAACTCGTAATATTATGACTTTATTGTTATACGACTTTAATGTCGTAATATTATGACTTTATTCTTGTAATTTAAAAAAAATAAAAATATCTCGTTGTGTGGCCCTAATACTCCGTCGTAAATACAACCATTAACAACAATATATTAACCATTTATGACATCAACACTGTTTAAAAACCTTTGCTGCAATAAATCATATTTTTATTTTTGAGCAACACTTTAAATTAACAACTTAAATGATCATTTCGACTGTTTCACAAACTTTAAGCACACATTTCTTGGCTAATATGTTTATAAAAATGAGATAAAGGCGATGTCTCTTACCTAGTGGGAAAAGAGGAACAGCTCCCGAACAGTGACATATCAGAAATAAAACAACCAAACAAAAAGGCATTTCTCCTGCTGCAAGTTATTCCTCAGCTCAGATCAAAGTTAAAACCTGGTCTGATTTAAACCGAGCACGTAGGGTTTGTCCCGCACATAGATAAAATGTTTCACAGACAAACAGAAACTGGTAACAACACATTTAACGACAGCTCGCCCCGCCCCCTTTACATGCCACAGAATGTTTGTGGATTTAAAAGCCTCCCTCTGCGGCTTCTGATTGGCTGCTCAGGTTTCTGCAGGAGCTGAAAAAAAAACAACAACAGGCAGTCATCAAGTTCACATCTTTTTTTAAAAGAAGAGAAACGGAAACAAAGTGCGATGTCAAAAACAATTCACCTGATCTGAGCATAATTTGCTTGTGAAAGTATTTAACTTCCTTATTAAATGTATTAAAACCTCTTCATTTCACTTCATTGTTCTTTTTTAAATTTGATTCACTTGTAGGCCACTTGTATTTTTAGCTTATGTTTAGCTACTTTTAGCTTTTAGCTCCTTTTTCCCCAATTACATTTTAGCTTTTATCTACTTTTACTCCCTTTATCTTTTATCTTAGCTGCTATTTTATTACTTTTAGCTTTTGTTTAGCCTTTTCCTGCTTTAGCTTTTAACTTACAACAATTAACTTTTTAGCTCTTAGCTAACATGTTGCTACTTAAAATTTTTGGGTTAGCCTTCTACTTTTAGCTTTTTGTTCATCTTTTGTTACTAATTTATTCCAGCTTTGTTTAAAGGGATCCACGATTAGTTGTAACATTAAACTTTATTTGATAAACATTTATTTTAACTGTAAAATAAAGACTGTAAAAATACTGTAGGC